CTGAAGAGAATATCATCTGATGTTAAGATTCAAGACTCATAAAATTTCATAGTCATACCTAAGGGATCATGAGGCTACTAGATATGCATTTAATTATAACATCCATTAGCTCAATGACTTTTGGATTATTCACCACCAGAAGTTACCCGCTTATTCTGCCCTCCTCAAGCACACCTCCCCAGCTTCCTGGGTTTTTCACAAGGTTTTCTTTAAATGCTGTGGGGGAGGTTTTGGTTAGCTATTGTGGGCTTTCCTGGCTTCAGCTAACAGCAAAATTTTTAACAGTTTCAACATTAACCATAAATATACCTCAGAGCTGGAAAATTTGTTTTGGAAATAGCAACAAAAAAAAAAACCAGCCCCCAACCCCTCCAAAATCACTAAGACCTTTATACACACCCATATATTGTCACAGCTGCTAAAACATTTCTGCAGTCTGTTAAAAGCCACAAAGATACTTTATCATTTTTTAGTTCAGTGCAAGTTAGGCTTCTGTATAGACTGAGGCCCATAAGTCTTCTATAATCATGTTTAAATTCTTAGATTTAATGGGCAATTTCTGTTCAGCAAGTTGCTTTGAAGTAAGTCACTTGTAAGGTAAATGGTATATGATTAGATACAGATATGGGTACACAGTGTTGAAGCTTTCTCTGTTTTCCAGAATTTTGCACCTTACTTTGTGCTATAAGAGAACCAAAACATTAATTCCCAGGAAAGCTTTAACTCCTATATCATATGTACATACCAGTACATGTTCCCTAAGCCTACTTGACAGCTTCTGGCTTACATGTTCAAGGATTATATAGGTGTTTTTAAAAAATTGTTCCTTTTCTTGAGTAGGAGTAGGTGCACAACCAGACCGCAAACTGCTGTCTTCCTGAGATTTTTCCTTCCTGTCCCAATTTCCATCTCTATTCCTATCTTAGTATATCCCCTCTGAGGCCAAAGCAATGCTTACACAAATGAAGACAAAGCAGTTGAGAAAAAAACAGAACTTACTACATCCGTCAGCTTTACACCTCCCATGCCACTTTCACATATCTGGCTCAGAATTTTCACCTCTGCACTTCACCTCTAATGACAGTGTGACAGTCCACATTTGGAAGAGAAAGGAACATTTGCAAAGTGGACTGCATTCAGTGGCTTTCTTGACTCATCCCCAAAGATCTTCACAACACAGGAAGAAAGGATGTGCTGTAGGTTGTGGAGAGGAAGACATAGAAAAGGCAGTGCTGTAGTTGGGAAAAGGGAAAGGAGAGGAAGAAAGCAGGTTTGAAGCGTCACTGCAAAATGGATCGAGACCAATCTCTTAACACAGAGAAGCAGGAGAACTGGAACAGACAGAACTGTGCTGTCTCTGCATGTCACCTAGAGGCTGAAACACAATGGCATCACACATCTGACTAGAAGAAAATAACTTATCTGAATGATAACGCTACACGGAAAACTTGTATTCAGATGAAAACAGGGCTGCTAACGGTCCTTTTGTAAGCGACCATTTTCTAGGATGTAATCTCTTGTAAGAGATATAGCGTTTGCTTTTCAAGGCTATGTTCTCATTTTCTGCTACTTGCAGTAGTTTTCAGGTAAGAATCTTTCCAACTGATCTAAACCAGCCTATATAATTTATATGATCAATCCATAATTTAGCATTTCACCATATTGACCAGAATGGCAGTTCTACTACGAATTCTTACAGCTCAATAGATTGTGAATACACCAAGCAAGGCATAAAATACCCCACAATGTCACCACAAAGTATCATGGAATTTCTCTCAGTTTATATATATATTTTTTTTTTTTAGTATTGATAGCTTTCAGGTAGTGTAACTTTTTTGTACTGTTACACGACCCACAGCAACCCAGAGTGATCCGCACACACTCTCGATGCAATTTTGTAGCAACATCCTTACTCACTTTAGTGGAGTCAAGATTCCACTCTATCAGTATCTCCTATATGTACAGCTTTGCAGAAGGTACTGTCTTTGAGGGGAAAATAACATTTATGCTTTTGATCACTGGTCAAGCAAAATCAAACCCAAAAATTTTACTGAATAACTTCAACAGACTTCATGTTTGATATAACAGGGTTTTCATAGGCTTTGTTAAATCTACGCTGAAGTTAAAGTGTGTGACAAGCCAACCCTGTCTGCACAGCAGGCTGATGTTCAATGTTTCAACAAAAAGACTGTCAAAATGGATTATTTCTTGCTATTATATAATCATTATTGGTAGACATTAGGCAGATGGAAGTCATTTAGAGATGTTTTAAAACACACACATATGTTTTCTCTCAATTCTAGTCCAAGTTGCACCAACACAATTTCAGTGACTTCAGTGCAATCATGCTGAGCAGGTATGAAAAACGACCTGAACCACTCCCCTGTCATTCTTCCCTGCCATCCTTACCACCATAAAAAAACCAGTATTTTATGGGAAAGAAGTGATGGGCTCACCAAATGCTGTGCTTTATCCAGGGAAACTCAGAATAACAGGATTATTGGCTTTGCTCCTAAATGTAACACACTATAGAACAGTCTAGGCTTTTTCACTGAAATTCCCTGGTGAATGTAAAAAAAGGGAGAGAAGCACTTCCTTTTCTAGAGTGCTTCTAAAAGGAGCAGAAAAAGTCTTTATTTTCCAGTGATGTTATTGACAGTGTATCAAGTCGCAAGAACAGTATTAAGGATCAAGAAACCTTATTGTACTGGCCTGTGTCACACACCTTCTGCTTATAGCAGAAAACTTACACATTAACACATTATTAATACAAATAGCTTTTTTTCTACACCATTTCTGCAGATTCTGAGAACTAAAAAAAAAAAAAAAAAAAAAAAAAAAAAAAAAAAGCAGAACAAAACCAAAACCTCAAAAAAATCTAACCTAAAACTGTACTGAATACAATATTTTGGTATAAGTTGAAGTCTAGAGTGACTTTAAAGATAGTCATCTGAATGACTGTGGTCACCCAAAAAGTAAGCAAGATGATCCAATTCATAATTCCGTATCTCCAGATTAAAGACAGAAAATAAAAGCTATTCATACTAATCCTTCAAAAGAATTATTTAAGTATGAGAAACTTATTTCTTTAAAATATTTTCATTACACAGAGGTTTTCTTTTTATTTTCCTGTACAAGAGATAAAATTAATCAACAATAAAATGTTTATACTGGTAAGGAAAACAACATAAAAGGAAAATTAATGACTGAAGGCAAATTAAAAAGGAAAGCAATAATTTAAAAATATTTTTTTATTGCTCAAGTATAGCTATTACTTTTTCTAGGGAGAAACACACACTTTACATCTTAGCATTTCTTCACTTTTAAAAACATATCTTAAAACGAGTATGCACTGGAGAGCTAGCCCTCCTTACCTTTCCCAATGAGAGCACCAAATTGCATGAGTGGCTTATACTCCACTGCCTAAGAGTGCAATATTGAAGTGCTACTTGATTACAGGCTACTTGTCTGGTATTTTAAAACTGAAAATTAAGGCACTATTAATACAAATACACTAAAGAATTTAGCATAAGTATTTTTGGTCAAAGCCTGGGCTTTAAAGTATTTAAGCTTTCTTCCATTAATTCTTTCCTTAATATTGATTTATGCCATCGTTATATCGTTGTTTTAAAAGACAGTGATGTTATAAATATGCACTGCGTAAGGTTTGCTTTTTTAAAGGAAAACTGAATTTCCACAGCCCTGCAGATTTTAAGACACACAAGGACAATTACGTACACAGTTGGAACAAGGTTTCAGATAAGAACTAGTGCCTGCCTGGAAGTAAACAAGATAATAAAAAATAAAATGCCAGCAATAACCTAAATTTCAGAAAAACTAGTGCCCCTCCCTTCGGGAATCATCGCCTTCAGGAGCGATCGCAACCAGAACGGGCACCACCGCGGGTTTGCTGCCCTGAACTTCGCATGTGGCTACGAAACCGAGCAGCTACAGCCTGACTCTGGACCTGCGGCTGTCGGCCGGGCGAGTACCCAGGGCTGGCTCGCCCCGGGAAGTCCCCAGACAGGCTGGGCCACGCTAGGTCTGGGATGCACCGGGAGAGGGAGAGCCGCAGGGCTGACAGAGCTCTGCCAGAGCACGGGCGCGGAGCCGCGGCCCAGCAGAGGCGCGGACCGCCCGAGAAGACGAGCCTTGCAGCCTTGCCTGGGGTGGTGTGGAGCAGGAGAGAGGAGCCCAGCCTGGCCCAGGGGAGCGCAGCCTCCCCCTGACACCCTGACATCGGGTGGCACCGCATCCCTCCGCCTCCCTCCAGCCGCCTCACCCACCGTAGAGAGGACACGCCGGCAGGGAGAGGGTGCTGCTCGGCTTTTGAGGATATTTTAAGCGGGGAGCCAGACCCTGCCCCTGACGCGCGGGCCCTGGGAGCCGAGACGTGTCCACACAGCCGGCGCTCGGGACGGGGACTTGGGCGGGGGAAAAGGACGGTGCCTCTGCGCCGAAAACACCTCACGAGAGGCAGCCGAAAGCCAAGCGCCTTGCGGGCCTGGCAAAGGGTTAAAGAACAAGTTACCCCCGCCTCGGTCTGACAGGTCTCGCCGCCCCAGCCGCTGTCAGCACCTCAGCCCTCCCGGAAAGCCGGGGGGCAGCCCCCACGCCGTGCGAAGCAGCGGGGAAAAGGGGGTGTGGGTGCGGGAGAGGCGAGACGGGGAGCGGAGCCCCCTCCGGGGGCCGGGCGCCCTTCCCCGCGCCGGAGCAGCGGGAAGGAACAATGGGGGCGAGAACGCACCGCCGCCGCTGAGGGAAGAGGGAGAGCTGCAGGGAGAGAGACCCTATGCCTCTCTCTGCTCTTGGCCGGAGCGGGACGGGGCACCGCGGCGGCGGCGGATCCCGCGGCGAACCCCGTCCCGCCCCGGGGGAGAAGGAGGGCGGAGGGACGGAGCGGTGCCTGGAGACCTGCCTCCGCCGCTCCGTCCCAACCCCATGAGGGAACCCTCCTGGCCGCGGCTGGGTCGCACCCCCTCTCTCGCCAGTCCGATTACCGCTGCCGTGGCCGCCGAGTCGTCCCGCCCGCCAGAGCCGGGCTCGCCGCTCGCTCCCTCCGTCGCCATCTTCCCGCTGTATGGGCTCCGGCGCGGAGCGCGGTGCGGAGCCGAGTGGCGGAGCCGCCGCCGCCAGGCGCTTAACCCGCTCCCCGCCGGCAGCGATCCCGCCGGCAGCGGGGGCGCTTAACCCCTGCGGCGCCGCGCAGGCGGGGCTGCCGAGCCGAGCCGAGCCGCCCCTGCGCCGGCAGAGGCGAGCGACTCCCGCCGCCCGGCGCTCGGGCTTCCCCACCCACCCGCTCCCCGTCCTCCATACGGCGGCCCGGAGACGGGCGGAGGGGGAGCGGGACCTCGCCGCGGGCGGCCGGCGCGCAATGGTAGCGGAGGGGAGTGTCCCCGCTACCGCGCTACCCGGGCCCCACGCACGCATCGCTCTCCTCCCTACCCGCCCCCGTGGTTTAGCAGCAGGAGAAGGAAAGGAAAGGTTGTGGATGGGACACAAAAATAGTGGGTTGGCTTACCTGATCCGTGAGACCTTTAAACCAACTGAAGTCTTTGAAGGAAGGGCAGCTGTGCCTCTTCCTTGATGGGATGCTGACTAGAGGAGTCACCTCTGCCTCCCCTGTGGAGTGGTTTAGGGGAACATTCTGCTGCCAGCCATTGCTTGACTGACTGTTTTTCAAGGCATATTTTCAGAACCTGTGTGAGGGTCGACACTCAGGCAGGCCCAATGTTCTACCACGTCTCAGACCCCGTGCTGGAGCCCATCCTGACCTGGGGCTGCCCTTTGCCGTTCCAGTTGGGTACTGAAGCCAAATCCTGTTCAGGATTACTTCCAGAGGAAGGTTTTGGCAGCTGAGATGAAGCCACTACCGCAAAGGCTCAATGTTCCCCACCCAGGAGCACCCTGCACTGCCCCTCTCCAGGGGATGTTCCTCACGGTCTTGTTGTACTGCTTTGCCCTTGCAATGGACCTACACCAAAAACATATCTAAATGTACTCTGTACATATCTAAATGGCTCTGTGGAACCAACTTATCTATTATAAGCTGAATTTGCAACACTGTTTACTCTGCAGCCACAAAGAACTTCCACCAACAGCGGGCTCCTTTGAGCCTTGCCCAGCTTCTGCTTTCACAGGGCTGCCTCAAGTCTGCTGAACTAAATCCCTTGATACCAGGACCAGAAATGGGCCAATGCCTTGATCAAAGGCAGCAAATGTTCTTCTTAGCATGCTGTACTTAAGGATGGCAGTAAATCCATGCATGAACTTTTCCCCCTGTACAATACCAGAAGGGGAACTGTAATTAGTAGGATAAACTCCAGTTGTAAGGTAAACGTACACTGAACGGAGCAAGAAGAAGGCAGTGTATAAGATCCATTACAGGACACATAAAGTCCAGTTAAACAGATGTTTTCTGGTTTAGGGCTTGTTTTTTCTTTCTCCTTAAAAATGAGCTCTCCTCCTACTTAAGTTTTACATTTTCTCTAACTATAGTGTGTGCTCACATCCCTTCTACCACTGAAGCTAAGAAACTACATTGATGACACATAGCCTAAAACAACTTGTTTTTCTCGGTTCTTAGCACTCTAATACCATTTAGCTTGTTTAGGACAAATTGTTGCTCGCCTTCTTTATTGACAGCAAAATAACATACATTACTCATAATTATTATTTATATAAATTTGGAAGAGTATTTGGTGCTTTGCCTTCAGGAAACACAACAAAAGTGATTTGTTTCCTATGAACTCTGTCATACTCCTCTCTAAAATGGATTAAAATACTGAAATTTTAAAAATTGCTTGAGGATATATTTTCTCTTACTGATTCCTATCTACCGTTATCATTGCCAGTATTTTCCTGTTGTGTTAGAATCATCTGCTGTCCCTCACAGTTAGCTATGTGTCTCTCTGAGTTGGTGCAAAGCATGAACACAACATAGTGTGTAAATACTGGTTTTTAACGCCATATATGTCACAGCAATGATGTAGCAAAGACTGCACCATTTATCTCTTGCCCTGCTGAGATCATAAACTGGTTTAGCTGATACTTTATCAATTACCAAGTGCACATTTATCAAAATAACAATGAATATTATATTAGTCATAGCTTGCCATTTCAGTCTTGAGAACTGATATCTCTTTCCTCATTTGCAGATAAATTTAGAATGATTTCTGAGAGAGATGGGAGTGCTCAATCTCAGCCAGCAAAAAAATTAATAGAATAGCTGGACCAGCAACACTTCAGTTAAAAGCCTACCTCCAGACAACTAATATCCAGCACATCATCCGAGTAGCTGGAAATAGACTTGTTATTATGGTCAAAAAGATGACATACATGCTTTTGAAGGAAGAGTGGTCTGTATTTCTTCTTTATGTCATGAAATGAATCGTCATAACATTTTGAAAATATTCCTGATGTTTGTAATTGTATGAGAGTACACTGCATGTTTGTGTTTCTTTGCTCTTTCCCCTAATGGCAGCAGCAAGGCTTATGGTTAGCATGAGAGCATTAAATCCAAATAAGATATTGCCAGTCACTACTGGGAGTAGATTCTCGTGCTGCACAGCAACCACTGCATCATCAGTGATGGTAGTATGGTCCAAATGTCTTTGGGGCTTTGCTACATGTAGAGCACCTTCACACTGAGGATCATCTTCAAAGTAGAAGATGTTTTTTTCCTTGATTGTTACTACTGCATCACTGGACAAGGCCTAAGTTATTATCTGGTTGTCTTATGCTGACATCCTCTCTCAGCACTGGCTCTAAACCCACAGTAATACAGCATCTACACACATTATGAATGACTTCAAAGTGAGGGGCAGCATGACTTCGTGACTGCTGTCATAGTGCGTGGTCATTTCTATGCCTTCATTATATAGGGCAAAACAGCTCTTTAATGTATGTCTAAGTCAGAGCCCTTCTAAATTCTAAATAAATTGCTTTTGCTTTTACAGACAATTTTATCATTACAGTAAAGCAACGGAGTTGCTTCTCTCAGAGGAAGGTGCTCACTGTTTTACTATTAGCATGTAGCCGGAAAACTGAATGCAATTAACTGTTTTTCTGCTGTTCCAATTTTATTTGGCCTGAATAACATAAAGAAAAGCCCAAGCCTAGGAGCAGGCCTTAAGTGTATTTCTTTCCTATGAATAGAGAGCTGGCACAAAGCAATGGAATATGTCCACACCTTACAGGATGCAGCTGCTGAACTGAATGGTGCTTATTCCCTCCATTAGCACGCAACTGCAGTGACAGAAAATGCCTCCCTTGGTTTTATATTGACAGAGAAGCAAATTGTGTATCTCAGTTGTACAATGTATTGTGGTTTCCTGCCTTGCAACTAACCATTTGCATGGGAAAACAAACAAGTGTAAAATAGTATTTTATTTGCCTTTACAAACAAACAAACAAAAAGCCTGTGTCTGAATTTAAAGCAAGGAGGAGATGTTGAAGTCCCAAAATAAATTTTTGCAGAACATTAGATTTCTGAGAAAAAGTAATTAATCACTGTATCATTTAAATCTTTCCAAAGGTCATCCCAGTGAAAACTTAAGACATTTCTTCCATCACCCTCATCTAGGACTGACTCATCAAGCCAAGCCAAACAACATAATTAAAATACTGCACTGATTACCTCTTCAGGAAACTTTGGTTTTAGAGACCTATATGTAATGCAGAGCACACTGATAATTCTGAATCATTTACTTGGGTTTTGTGAAGAAGGAGTTTTCTCTGGAAGATTGCACACCACTGGCCAGGTGTAATTCAATAGAAAGAGACAATATTCCCAAGGGCATGTTGGCTGCTTCTGGGGATCTTAAAGTAACATTAAAAAGAAAGGTGAAAAGGAGGCAAAGTCAAAGCATTGAGAAGAAAATAGAATCTCCAGTAGGCATTCGAAGAAGAGATGCTTTAATTGACCATGAAGAAGGAGTGCAATGAATAAAGAAAGTGTTGAAGTGGTTGATTTGTGAGCATAAATTCAACAGTATTGAATATTACTATAAGCTGGTGATGTGATTCACATGACTGGAGTGTTGAAAACTGTCTATAATCTGCTTTAAAAAGGGGCAAGTGCACCAAAAAAAGGGAAGAAACTATCAAAATAGAATGTTCTGTGTGTCAGCATTACTGACATTTCAGGAAAGGTTATTTGAATATTTATGTGCTGTGTTTTAAAACATAAAATGAAGTGTTTAGTCCATACTGCAAACCTCACAACATACTAAAGAAAAAAATGGCAATATCCTCAAATATCTTCTACAAAGAAAGAGACAGCTGCTATCACTGAGGCTTTGCTTTGAGTGACATCATTTTGCCAATACTGTAACATCCTGTAAACTTCTAAAAATTATGGGTGACAATTCAAGAAGTTAACCTTGAGCAGGAGGATTCTAAATGAGACATTCTTTTAACACAAGAAGAGGAGAAGCTCGCTCCAACTGGAATTTAAAATTTGAGTGTTTGCTCTGCCTAAGTTTGAGAAATCTGAGCCCAGAATGGAATCTGGAAACTAAAAATGGGTACAGCTTATGAATTTGAAACATTTATTTTAGAGAAGAGTTGAAGTCTGTGTTATGCAAAAAGATCACACACTGATCTTCTCGGAGTTGGAATACATAAGCTTTCCTATGAGGAAGAAAAAAAACCCAATAACTCATTTGCTGTCAAGACAAAAAAAAAGGAGTGTGTACAGCTTTCTAAATAGCAGAAAGGTATAGATCAGTTAAAATTATCAAACTGAAAATGCACGAAAATATTCAGGAAAGGTAAAATCTGTATCCTATTTCTCTTTCACTCATCTTCTCTTACTGGTGGGTACCAGTAAGGAATGTGAAGTAAATCCGGAAAAGTTTTCTAACTGAAGCAATAAAGGTGCAGGAATTAAGAATTCTCAGAACCAGTTTCCCTAAGCAGGCATGATGTACTTCTACAGGCATCAGCACTTCCAAGCAAAAACCCCACTTTCTTTTCCTGTACATGGAAGAAATGCTTGCTGCTGTGATCATATTGGCTGTAGTGGCAGGAGGCAGGAGAATTCATGCTGCAACTGCCAGACATGGAAGAGTCTGTTCCTTTACTGGCAGGATTTATGCAGCAATCTGCAGTGCAGGGAAGTGCACTACCTCATTTTGGAATTTAACTCT